TGTAAAAGTTCCCACTTGTTGCAGTCGGTACTTTGTAACCATAGCAACGAAAAGGAAACCCAAGTCACCCGCCCGCCTCCCTCTTCTCAACAAGTCGAGAGCAGATAGACTTAGAAATATTACACTTCCAATAGAAATCTTTTAAAATACGTTTTTTTGCCCTTAAGATATTCTTATTCATATAATATGAGTCTTGAAGTATCACATAATTGAATGAAATTATATTTTTATTTATAACTAGTGAGTTACCCTAGCTTCGCTCTGGTGCAGGTGATGAACGTAAATTTTAAAAAATCGTAGTTAGTAGAAACATAAGCAAATTTTAATTTCCTAATTCGTACCTTAAACTTAAAATCTCCATAACTCGGTTAATTTTGACCGGAGGAAAAAAAGTAATGATACTTTTTTATGTAAAATTTTAAGCTCTACACATTTTTATTAAAACTTTGCCGTCTAATTTTTACTGTTTTCGAGTAATTACGAAAAAACATTTTTGACAATTTTTTTTCAACCCTTGCCGGGGGTTGCAGACACAAAAACCTTTACACATTGTTTTTGTATCATTAAAACATTTATACACTTAAACATTATATCAAAAATGCAAAGTTGAGTGCCAAATTTTGACTTCAGACCTTATTTGACGGAACTAAAATGCGAACAAACAAGCAATTTACTTTAGTTTTTATGTATTAGATATGTTTAGCTGTTTAGTTATGTAAAATAAATTGCAAAAATCTACAATTTTATCCACGTTAATTTTAAGAAAGAAATAAGATGTCTTAAAGACGTGAAAAGTTATACTTATGGCTCTACAATTGAAAAAAATCATCACACTTCCAACCACTAACCGAAAAAGCTCTGTTTTTAAAAATATCGAGACCCGTGACTACATGTTTATATTATGAACTTACGACTAAACTTTATATATGTATATCATTATATTTTTTTTAATATTTTACTTTTTTTTATCTTTAAACCTAATTTCGTTGACGTCAATAAAGTAACAAACTCATAGCCTTTAAACGCAACAACTTTCATCCACTATTTTACCTTATGGGACGAATTTTGAAAAATGCTAAAACATATTTATTTAATTTTATTGAAGAGCATTAATATCAAGTTTCAGGTAATTCTGATCATAAATATTTTTTTTTATTGTATTATAAAGTGTTTTACCGTGGGAATAAGGTAATCTCCTGCGGTAACAAAAAGTTCTCCAACTATCTCCACACAAAAAATCACGCCAATCCGTCACTCCGTTTCGACGTAAAAGAAGGACAAACAAACACACTTTCACATTTATAATATTAGTATGGATATTTAACTTTTAACTTTTAGCAGTTTCAATTTACCAACTACTTGTTGCGGTATATGACGTATTTTCAGCTTTAGTGTGAGAGCGGCTAACAGCCGCCCACCGGCCACCACTCGCCACCCTGCTCTTGTGAAGTGAAGAGCAGACATTATACTCGGACAGGGTTCCCACCACTTCATTATACCTATTTACTTTTATACTATTTATAATAAAAAGAACATTTGAAAAAAATATTATGATAAGCATATTATGTAAAAAATTGTAAAAATTCGAGACGTGATTGCGTAGGAATATTTATATTTCTTTAAAAAAAATATATATTATACTATAGTTATTTTATTTCACATGTAATAATAATTCAATATTTCACCTAAACCTATATTTTCGCTAAACATTCTGAAAATCTCTACAATTAAGTGGTAATAAATTTAATAGTGCATAGGTATATTAAATTTAGAACACACCAAAACTGAATTTTATATTATCTTTATAAAACTTATTCTAAATGAGACAAAAAAGGAAATTTCAGTTAAATTATAAAAATAAAAAATTCAATGGCTAACCCTACGAAGTCTGCTATCGCGGGTAATTACTCTTCTAAAGCTTTTGATAGGTTAGTTATGATGTATATGTAGATATTCATATGCAACGAACCATAACTGCGAATAAACGTGCTTTGGATAGGTCGAAGTTCGAACGGTCAGCATAAGCCATAAAACGCACCATTCCAGATTTCAAATTTTAAAATTATTTTCGTCGATATTTTTTTTGATAGATAGTAGATGTCGGAAAACAATATTGTGTTGCTTAGAGAAGGTTGTACCATGTTGAGCTTTGTTTGAATTACAAAGACTTTAGCACAGCACAGCTATCAAAATTTTAGAACTGACAAACTGAATTTATGAAACAAATAAACGGTTTAATGAGAAACTTTTTATTGCGGAAAATGTTGGCATACATGAAATAATATCAAGTTTATAACTCCATCCACCTAGTAGGTACATTTTCATTACAGTACATTTTCATCCTTGTTCATCAGTTTCATCCTTGCTGTTTTGTATATATACTTTTTATATATACTTTGTAATTTTAAAAATATTCTTATGTTTGATTCTCATGTATGACATTCATTCATATCTTTTAAGCTAATAAAAAATATCTTATGATTTTGTGTATTAAAGTTATTTTATTGGATCCTATCGTCGTCGCCAACATCCACTTGACGACACGTTTGGCTCAGTTTGTGCCAGCGGTCGCGGGCTTGAGTCCCGCTGGGAGTATTCATTTGTGTGATGAGCACGAATGTCTGTACTCCAAACTCTAATGTTTATATTTATAATACGTACATATGTATTTAAAGTTATAGTACCTGGGCCACCGAGCTTAGCTCGGAGTTATTAGTTAAAAAGTACAATTTTCTTTAAAAAAAAATTAAAAACTTGAATAAATACAAAAAAAAAAACAAAAAAAAATTATACCTTTGTATCCGACCGGGATTCGAACCCGGACACCTATGATGGTCAATCTTGCGTCTTTTTTTAAAAAAACTAAAAACTTGAATGAATAGTGCAAATTACCGACCGACCGAATATTTTGCGTGGAATAATGCAAAGAAAACTGCATGAAAACTCCAAAACACGCGTTTTATCAGACATAAGACTTGTCTAGATCGATTTATCGCTCCCGAAACCCCCTGTATACTAAATTACATGAAAATCGTTGGAGCAGTTTCCGAGATTCAGATTACAATTAAAAAAAATAGTATTATTATTCGCCAATAGATGTCAGAAAGAGTCATTTTTTTCAGTTTATGTTTAAGTGGCAACATTAGGACTACCCAAAGGCCACCTTTTTATTATTTTTTTCCAATAAAAAAAATAAGTTTATGTTTTAGTTGATTATCGATAAAGTTGATTATTGAAAACACCATTACAACGACGTTTTCTAAAAATCCTGGGCCACCGAGCTTCCTTCGCTCGAAGTTTTTGGTCAAAAGTACAATTTTCTTAAAAAAAAACTAAAAACTTGAATAAATACAAAAAAAAAGAAAAATAATTTACATCTTTGTATCCGACCGGAATTCGTACCCGGACACTTATTCAATCTTGCGCTTTGGCCGCTTGACCATGATGCTTATGTCCGAGTGTGCGAAATTATCGAACAATATTTTACGTGGAATAATGCAAAAGAAAACCGCATGAAAATTCGAAAACACGTGTTTTCCCAGACATAATACTAATCTAAATCGATTTATCGCCCTCGAATACTAAAATCGTTGGAGCAATTTCCGAGATTCAGATTATATATATATATATATATATATATATATATATGTATAACCACCCTTTGTGGTAAAAAAACGTATAGAGTATAGTATTAAAAAATGTATTATTAGGCTTCTGTGATATTACTTTTTTTTTATTTATAAAGAAAATTACATAATAATTACATTATAATCCTTTTAAACACATGCTTGCGATACGCTATGTTTATATGCATGTGCATTTGCACTTATTATGTAGTATGTACGTTATGTACATACATACGGATGAACGTCAATGCCTGGCAGCCTGGACTGAACTAGACATACAGATAATACACTTATAGTAGGCAACTGCCATTCAGCACTATATGTGGCGGTGAGGCGTCGAGAAAAACGATAGAAAATATCTGCCTAGTTCCGTCCGATCTTTGTTTTATAATGCATGTGCATTAGTAGACTAATAGACTTTATAAGGCGCATAACTCAAATTGAAAGAAATTCACATTAAGTAACGAAATATTATTGTAATAATATAAATCATAGTTTATGAAATTAAAATTTATTTCGTTATTCATACATTTTTAATTTATCTTAAATGTTTTATGTATTATCAAGCACAATTCTTATTGCCCACTAAAAATGCTTAATTTGTTATAGTACATTCTAATTCTATAATATGAGTCATTTAATTTGTCACTTTCATGTTTTAAACGATATTTATTTGTCCCTTTATAAAGGGACATCATATTTTTGATCGGCTTGCCTTCTCTCTTTATTATTTTATTTGTCATTCATGATATCTATACATATAATAAATTTCTAACTAAGTCGAATCTGTACATTAAATATTTTTTGGAAAATCTTATTGAAAATTGAAATAAACATTATTATCGATACAAAGGCCAAAAATTTTTAGAATTTTTGTCTGTCTGTCTATCTGTCTGTCTGTTAATGCATCACAAAAAACCACTGGACGGATTTTGATGAAATTTGGTATGATGATCGCTGGTTATCCGGTTCAACATATAGGATACTTTTTATCGCTGGAAAATATCTCATTTCTGAGAAAAAATACAAAAACTGCATTGTAAGAGTATACTAATATGTAAAACCTAAGAATTTGGTTTTTGGTAATATGAACGCGGGCGGAGCCGCGGGCAATGCTAGTTATGTCTATGGAACTAAAAGAAAATGTCCTAAAAGGGAACAGATAACAAAATTAGAATTTATCTTAATCTATGTATATACTATATTCTGTGAGCAATATAACTGTCAGATTTCCTCTCCCTTTCCGCTCCTCACCTCATAATTGACTACCATCTGACGAGAAAGTTTAGGTTCAAAGTCTGGGTTCAAAAAATTTTTATCTTATTGGCCCGAATATTATATTATATTAAATTATAATTTACATAATTTTTCAGTATGTCTAATAGTAAGATGTTTAATGCTCTGAAGATTTTTAAAAGCCACAACAATGTAAAATTCATAAATAGTAAGTACTGTGCTAGTCATAGTAGTTTGAAAAGTCGTAAACTTTTTATAAAATACGAATAATTTAATTGTATTACTACAATAACAATCGAGGAGATAACTCTTTTAATTCAATAAAAATAGTTTGTAATAAACTATAACATACTTTTTACAAGCTTTTTATTTATTATTCAGGGCTGCATAGCAGATCTTTTGCGGCTGCAGCAACTTCACAGGTTCATACTAAATGTAAGTTGGTAAATGGAGTATATGTTGTGACACTAGACTCTCCAAATGTTAAGGTATGTAACAAAGATTTAAATTAGTGATGTAATATTATTAAACTATTTTTAGGGCAAAACTGTATTTTGATAACATTGCATTAAAACTAATAAAAGAATAAATGACATATTCATGTCTTTAAATAGTATGTTTACTCTTGCCTAATGGATACAAAATATTTTATCTGATAAAGATATCATATATTTTTTAATCATTAATATACTTATTCTAATCATGGTAATTAATGTAGAAGTAAATAAAGTTGTAAATAAAATTTACTTAAACATCTATAAAAATTAAACCTAGTGTGTCACAAATATGTTACTTTCAGGTGAACTCTTTAAATGAAGCGGTAATGGATGAAGTCAGTAAAATTATAAATGAAGTTGACTCAAATCCCGCAATTGAAGCTGCTGTTTTAATATCTGGCAAACCTGGATGTTTTATTGCCGGAGCTGATATAGGCATGATTGAAAAATGCAAAACTAAAGATGAAGTAGTAACTCTGTCAAAAAATGGTATGTATAAAAAATAAATTACATTAAAATTATTTCATTGATTTAAGAAACTTAATTTTTTGCACCATATTTTTCATAATAAATAATATAGCTTATTACAATTTTTTAAATTGTCTAACCATTTTCATAACATCCTGTGACCCATTACTTGGACTAACAAGAAGAGATAATATTTTGGTGTGCTTAGTTTGTTTGAAAGTAGTAAAATGGATGTATTTAAAAAGCCAATTAATTCAAAATGATAAACAGACATCATAATTTTAAATATCAACTCAACAATATAGTCAATGGCATAATTGATAAAACTTCTATTTGCTTACTATTAATGGTCAGTTTGATTTTATATATGTATATTGTTTTTTGTACCATACATGGAATAATATACTTTTAAAGGTCATGAAATCTTCAAAAGGATTGAATCTTCTCGCAAACCATATGTGGCAGCTATTCAAGGAAGCTGTCTCGGTGGAGGTCTTGAGACAGCTCTTGCTTGTAAATATAGGATTGCAGTAAAAGACTCTAAAACAGGTTTTGGATTTCCTGAAGTTATGCTTGGCCTCCTGCCTGGAGGTGGTGGTACTCAAAGGTAATAGAAATGATTCATATGAAATATGAAATATTACACTAACTATACTTGTGTGAATATATAATTCTATTTTTTTATAAATAAATTTTCAAAATATATGTATTATGGGTAGAATTTATTAATTAATTTCAGTTTTAAAAATATCCAAAACTAAGCTATGAAATGTTATATCAGTCTTAAAATTAACAATAATTTTATAAATTATGATAACTTTAGGCTTGTATTATATCACAATTTATCTGTAATAAATAATTAAAAATAATCTGTATAGAGATAACTTTTTATTAACATAAATAAATACTCTCTTATTAGGATGCCTAAATTAACATCAATTCCTACGACTTTGGACTTGGCTCTCACTGGAAAGAATGTTAAAGCTGATAAGGCAAAGAAGCTTGGCATTGTTGATCTGTTAGTGTCCCCCCTTGGACCTGGTAAGTGACCAATATACATACAGTTATAAAAAAATCATTTCACTAGTTTTTATATTTTATAACTGATTTTCTTTTAATGATGTGTCTATCCAATATCCATATTAGGTACTCAAGTACCTAATATGGATATTGGATTTATATTTCTTTTAATGATGTGTCTATCCAATATCCATATTAGGTACTTGAGTACCTAATATAATATGAAAACTATCATATTGCATATTATATCATAGTTTTTTACAAGAAAAGCTTTTAAAGGAAAGTTTTTAAGAAGAAATTGTATTATTATTATTGTAAAAGAGAAACTTTTATACTATTAATATTTGCTCTATTTTAATATACATCATATTTGAATTTAATTTTAGATTTTTTTTGTGTGTTCAAAATTTACTATCATTTATCAAAATATGTATATCAGAAAACTACATTAAAACTTTGAGTAATAGTATAAAAATGCTTTAATAGAAAACAATATTGAATGTCCATATTACAAGACATGCACAATAAATAATAGCATTCCCAAGGAGGGTTGATGTCAGGCAGGCGGCCGGTCTTAAAACTTTTGCCAAGTCATTGGGAAATGGGCAGGGAGATTGAGACTTGAATTTTATTTCATTGATCTTATGCTAATGTAAGTACTAATTTTAGGTTTAGGCCTGCCTGAAACCAATACAATGCAATATTTAGAAAAGGTAGCTATTCAAATAGCCAAAGAAATAGCATCTGGGAAGATGGTAGTGGATAGGTCGAAGAAGGGATTAGTTAGCAAAGTGACAGAAGCCGCGATGCAGTGGGAGTGGATCAAGAACATGATCTTTAATAAGGCCAAAGAGCAAGTGATGAAGGCTTCCCGTGGCTTGTATCCCGCACCACTTAAGGTAATATTTTCTAACTATAATATAAATAGAATTAGCTTATAAGTCTAAAAACAAACATCAAAACTTAAGAGTAAATTTTTTAAGCACTAAGGTTGAATTAGTAAAATTAATTATTCTATCTTTTTTGAGTTAAAATCCTGCCAAACATATAAGTTAAATACACATAAAATTTACTTTTTTTAAATAACAGTCAATCTGAATATTCTCGTATAGATTCTAGAAGTAGTAAGAACAGGTGTGGACAAGGGCCCTGTGGCCGGATACGAGGCGGAGGCGCAGGGCTTCGGCGAGCTCGCCATGACGCCGCAAAGCAAGGGACTCATTGGTTTATTCCGAGGACAGACTGAATGCAAGAAGAATAGGTTCGGCAAGTCCCAAGTTGATGTTAAGAGTGTAAGTTGTTAATTATGCTAGAAATTAATTTTTTAGAGACAATAGTGGATGTACAGTTGGCATTAATGCCAAATGTTCTTATATAACTTTCTTGTAATGTAATAAATTTAATAATATAAACATACAAGCGTCATTCTTGGCCTGCTTCTAGTGCAGGCTTTATACTTCATTGTACATAAAAAAAATGTTCGAATTATAGATGCTGGCCAAAGGTGAGATTGACTCGCGGATCGCCACATTTATTATATAAGATTTTTTTAATTGATATATTATGAGATGGCGCGCTCCCACGTTCACTGGCTGGTTGATTTTATCTCATTTTCGTGCTACATGTAATATTTCCCCCTCCATGTTAAATATAAATAAGTTAAACGACTTTTATTACAGTGTTTAGAAAAACTTCACAATTGATTTTTGAAATCCTACCAATATTATAAACATAGATATATAAACATATACATATTAAGTTGTTTTGGAAGATATTTAGAGTGACGAATTTTGCTCTAAAATCAATTATTTATAAATTTAAAATAAATAACAAAAAACTAATAAATTCTTATTTTAATTATTAATTTATTATTGTTATTTATTAATTTACTATTACTATTTATTAATTTATCATGATTATTCACTATCGACTCATTCGTCCCTAGGTATGATTTAATTTTTTTGAGCGGGACCATAATTCTTTTTCTAAAATAAAAGTAGCCTAAATTACTTCCTATAACATCAGCTATCTTCCAGTGAAACTCTCGTCAAAATCAGTCTGACGGTTTCAGAGATTATCCCAAACAAACAGACAGACAGACAAAAATTTAAATAATTGTGTTTTTCTTGTAAGTACCGTATATAATTTTATATGCATTTAGTAAAACGCTGTCATTTTGATATTACAAACAGACACTTCAATTTAATTAATTATCTGTATAGATTAAAATAATGATATATTCCAGATCGGTGTTCTCGGCGCGGGTCTGATGGGCGCCGGCATAGTGCAGGTGTCTATCGACAAGGGCTACAGCGTGGTGCTGAAGGACGCCACCAGCGCGGGGCTGTACCGCGGCGTGGGGCAGATACAGAACGGCCTCGTCAACGCTGTCAAACGCAAGAGAGTGTCGTCGTGAGTACACCAGGATATATATACTAATATTATGAAGTAGTAAAGTTTGTCAGATTGTGAGTTTGTGACATTGTAGGGCATAATCTCTGGATCTACTGAACCGATTTAGATGAAATTTGGTAAGAAGATAGTTTGAGACTCTGGGAAGGACATAGGATACCTTTTATCCCAAAAATCATCCCTTAAGATGGTCGTCATAAGACCTTTCCTTAAAGGGGTGAAAATGGGGATAAAAGTTTGTATGTCGCTAGTATATTTCTAAATTTTTTTATCTCGATCGTGATACTGTTTTATACCTGATAAGAAAAATTTGGTAATCAAACAAAGGTTAAGATTGTAGCTTCTTCTGGAGTACACAGGGGTGTGTTTAAATAAATTATAACTTGAATTCATTTATGCTGTGTGCCTGGTAAGGAATTCATTTGTATAAATTGTCTGTAGTGCTTACATAGGTATTTTTATTACATAATTAAAACCAAAGTATTTGTATGTCTGTTTTTGCTAATCTAAGGAGTGGATCAATTCAACGATATTTTCATGGGAAGGTAGATAATACTTTCTTAGATTTACGCGAATATTTGACATTTTAAATAAAGCTACCATTTCGGATTTTTTCGCGGATATTTTAAATTTTTGGTTCCCGACATTTCGAATGCTTTACACCAATCTTGGTCTCGGGAGAGACGGTCATTCAAACAAAAATAAAAATAAATCCAAAAAAAAGACCGAAAAGATAGTTTTATTTTAAAAGGTAGATAAGTTTAAAATTTGTTACATCTATAAAAAATTTGAGACATTACATTTAATTAACATTCTGTAATTATACATAGCAATTAAATATAAAATTCAGAGATTAATTGCATAAAATGGTACACTAACAGTTTCTTCATTTTGCAATAATAGTTTTTTTATTTGATTTCTACATTACTAGCAGAACCCGCGGCTTTGCCCGCCCTAAAACAAAAAAAAATCTTTGAGTTGTATAATGAGTGTTTTTTCCATGGGTCTGAAATATTCTTCCACGGTGAAAAATAGCCTTTGTTACTCTCTAGCCCTCTAACTACCTCCACACAAAAAATCACGTCAATCCGTCTCTCTGTTTTGACGTTAAAGAAGGACAAACAAACAAACACAACAAATGTGAATGTTCACATTTATAATATTAGTATGGATCACTCAGATGATCTGTGATGAATCTTTTAATAATGTAAAATGTTATGTGTTTTTTACAGTTTACAAAAAGACAAATTCCTATCAAACCTTTACCCAACCCTGGACTATAGCAAATTCAAGAATGTGGACTGTGTCATTGAGGCAGTATTCGAAGATATCAATATTAAACACAAAGTGATCAAGGAGCTGGAGGCAGTGGTCCCCAAGCATTGCATCGTAGCGACTAACACCAGTGCTATCCCCATTACAAAGATTGCTGCTGGTAGCAGCCGTCCTGAGAAAGTTATTGGTAAATCGTTTAAATAATAATCATTTATTAACATTAATTACATACTGTATATAATTCGGAATATTTAAATCTTTAGTATATTTTTATACACGAATGTATTCGGCCTATTTAGACGTTCCACTGCTGGGCTCAGGCCTTCCTTTAATAAGGGGGGTTTGTGGCCTTCATATGTCTTTCGAAAACTTGCTAAGTTCTGTCAGACATGTAGGTTTCCTTGCGATGTTTTACTTTATCGTAATACAAGCGGTAATCATGTTCGAAATAATTCGTACATAAAAATATCAGAGGTACGGGATTCCAACCGGCTTCATTCAGCGTCCGATTTATTACTGGGTTACTGATCAATTATGTATATTTTCTTAGTCTGAGTTTACATATATGTGTATACATATGTATAATTTCTTAGTCTGAGTTTATACATTAAACACTACTACTACACACTATGATGACTACTAAGTACTAACATTGAGATGGCACATCACTGTGCAGGCATGCACTACTTCTCCCCCGTGGACAAGATGCAGCTGTTGGAGATCATCCGGCACCCGGGCACCAGCGACGACACGGCGGCCGCGGCCGTGGGCGTGGGCCTGCGCCAGGGCAAGGTGGTCATCACCGTGGGCGACGGGCCCGGCTTCTACACCACCAGGATACTCTCCACCATGCTCAGTGAGGCTGTCAGGTTGGCTGATTTAGTTCGAAATAATACTTTATTAATGTTACGTGAATATTTGAGATTTTGAGTGAAATTACATATATTTTGGGATTATGTCACAAAAAATATATAAAATGTAACCTTTATAAATATTCATATAATAATAATCTTATATATAAAAATGAACTTTTATGTTTGCGTTTTATGCATTGTCAAAATGTTCAATAAATTGATACACATTTGTTATGACATCAATGTTTTTTTATAAAGGCACCATCAACTGTAAATATGCAATAAGTAACTTAGAAGTCGAACCACAATAACAATATTTTATTAGTCAGAATAAAATAAATGAAGTAATATGTAAAATATGATTGTTTGTGCACAGGTTACTTCAAGAAGGCGTTGACCCCAAGGACCTGGACAGCATGACGAAGCAGTTCGGCTTCCCCGTGGGCGCCGCCACGCTCGCGGACGAGGTCGGCATCGACGTCGGCTCACACATTGCTGTGGACCTAGCTAAGGTACTGATGCAATTCAGCATTCATTTTTAATATCCCATTGCTGGGCATCTGCCTCCCCTCAATGCGACACTGGTGAAGTGCAGGATGATGAACTTCATATACTTTTTTCTTTCATCTTTCGATAAAGTTCTCTTGGAGTGGTAATCATGTTGGAAATGATTCGCACATGAGATATCCTCATAGAGCAAAGATCCCAGATTCAAACCCACTTCATTTGGTTTCCCAAGCGAGTGTGTTACCACTGGGCTAGCACTGATGTAACTTCCATTGATTAAAAATAATATTTTAAAGAAAAATCAAAAAAATATGCTTTTGACCAAACAATATTATGAGACTCATTTAATCGAAAATTAGTTAAAAATATTCCACTATCCAACTTCTGGCTACATCACCAAGTTGTAATTTGAATCTGTATTTACACATTTATAAATTGCTACGACAATAAAAAGCGGGTTAAAATTAATTTCCAAGATTTAATTCCAAAAAGTAGTCTTTTCACTTTCTATAAAAAAATGCCTTAAGTATTCCTACCATTTACCTACCTTAACATTTGTGAAAACAGGAATAACATAATAAAACTTTTTTCTTATATTTTTGGAATATTATTAAAATAAAAAAAATCTATGTCTAATCCTTTTTTAAATAGTAGAATAACGAATTATTTTTTATAATTTGCAGGCGTTCGGTGATCGCATTAGTGGTGGTGACTTGAACATCATGCAGGATCTAGTCAAAGCTGGCTTCATGGGAAGGAAGTCCGGTAAAGGTTTCTACATATACGAAAAGGGCACAAAGAACAGGGATGTCAACCAAGAAGCCGTGCAGATATTAAAGGACAAATACTCTCTTGAACCACGCGGCGCTAACACTGTTGAAGACCAGCAGTTGAGAATGGTATCGAGGTGTGTATGAATAAATAAAAAAATATATTGGGTCATTAACACACAGGATCTCTAGTTCCATGGTAAGCTACGAGGCCTGTGTTATGGATACTAGATAGTTGCTACACTATACATATATAACTTTAAATACATACATATTATAAATATAAACACCCATGACTGAAGTACAAACATTCGTGATCATCACACAAATGAATGCCCCCAGCGGGACTCGAACTTGCGACCGCTGGCACAGCAAGTAGGGTCAAAATAGTAGTGATTTTAAAATACTAAAAAACACACGCTTTTACAAACTGCCATTAATGGGATAAAAATGTATAAATGAGAAGGTTAAGACTTTTAAAAGTGTAATGCAATACTTGAAGCTTATATAATGTGGTAAAGAATGAAAGGGTGAACGGACTACCTGATTCAATGTTAGCCCTGCGTAGGGTCATACGTCATGGTTATGTGTCCACACTAGGTGATTTGCTAATTGTTTATTAGTAAGAATTAATAATGTTCACTGCGTTTCGTACGATAACTTTGATCATTTGTTAAGATTTGATAGGGAGAATGCGGAGCTTGACCTATCGTCGTACGCAGCCGTAAAAGTTTTTTGAACTACCTCCAGGTATTGGGGTATTAGAAAGTGACAGGAGTATACTATCAGTAATGTAAAATGTGTACCTAAAAATTAGAGATGAACATACAAAAAATATTTTATTTTTTCTATTTATAGATTTGTAAATGAGGCAGTATTATCACTAGAAGAAAAAATTTTACATAGCCCTCTTGAAGGAGATGTTGGCGCTGTATTCGGCCTAGGATTCCCGCCATTCACTGGTGGACCTTTCAGGTAATATGAATTTAAATTTAAATCCTACTAATATTACATACTAGCGATTCACCCTCGCTTCACTCGGGTTCGTCCATAACATGCTTCCCCATACAAACTTTCATCCCCTTAAGGGATGATTTCCGGGATAAAAACTATTTTACTCACTCGCTTTTCATATCATGAGATTAAAAAAATATCTTATTTTAGTATTAACAAAAATCTTTTAATTTTCTTCTATACAAAGCTTGTCCTGACAATAAGAAACAAAATATAAGAATTATCCAATTTGGTGCAGTCGATCGTTAGTTATGGGCGTAGGTACATACATTTCGGTGATTCATTTTTATTTATATAATAGATAATAATCTATACATGAGTCGAATCGAATAATCGAAAAAGTCGTACGAATCTGTACATGAATTATTTTTTGGAAAATCTTATTGAAATAAACATTATTATCGATACAGAGGCCGAATCTATAGTTTTTAGAATTTTGGGGACGAACCCGAACGTAGCGAGGGTGACTCGCTAGTAATAAATACATATAAATGTGAAAGTTTGTGAGGATGAATAAATGGATAGATGTTTGTTACTCTTTCAAGCCAGAACGGCTTTTGGCACAAAAATAGGCTATAGTCTGGAATAGTACATAGGTTATTTTTTATCCCGGAAAAATGTAGGGTTCCCCTGGGATAGGTTTGTTTTTGTCTAGGGTTGAACCCGAACCGGAGCGAGGGTGACTCGCTAGTAAAATATATTTTTTACTTTTTTACTGTACTATTTTTGTTTAAATTTTAAATATATTTTTCTTATAAATTTTGCAAAATATATATATATTTGTCAAATCATGTGCAAATGCTTACAGATTCAATCATCGGTATTTGTATCTATAAGTATCTGTAATCGGTATTTGTAAAGAATAGAATGCAGTCACTGATATCTTTCTCTCTGTCTTATTTACACTTAAATAACAAAGCTATATCAATAAAAAATATTTCTTGTAACATTTATAATTTTTATCAGATGGGTCGACCAATTTGGTGCTGATAAACTGGTGAGGAAGATGGAAGAATTCCATGGACTTTATGGAGCGCCATTCAAACCAGCCCAAACCCTCGTGGACATGGCTAAAGACAGCAGCAAGAAGTTTTACAAGAATTGAAAAAATAATATAATTCATAATACGCCTTTCTATCTCGCGTCGTCGTATCGTCTTTTTCGCTACCACCCTTCCAGTCAAATACTGCCTGTTGTGTCTACGACTTTGTTAGTATTTATGATGCTGCATATAGTATATAGTGATTACATGTATCAAGGCTACGAGAACATACTTACCATCATCTTACGTAACGCTAAATCTTTGTAAATGCTTGACTCTGTGTCTTTTTGAAAACCTTTAATATTAAAAAATAGAAAGATTGAATTTACATTAAGAGTGATTGTCAATGTTTTAAATGTATTTATTTAGATATAAGCAGAAATATACATATTTTACTATGTATACAATCTAATGGTGCGAATATGAACATGTAGATTGTAACTTCATCCTTAATCTTATCCCAAGTTTGTTAAGCAATTTCTTTATCTATGTAAATCAATAAAATATTTATATTATTTATTATTGTGGTTTTATTACTTTTATAAAGCGCAAAATCCTTTTTAAAAATCATATTGACGGATCTTAGTCGCCAATTAGTGTCTTCAAAATTTTTTGTCCAAAACAATCGAGGGGGTATCAAATACAGGTTTTTAAGAAGCTATTACAAAAATATATACCTATAATTTATATGTTTCATAATAATTTAGGAGAAAAAATTGTTAAATAAAACTAAAAATGTCATAAATGACCAAAATTAAAAATCTGCAAATAAAAAAATTACTTAAAACATTAAAAAACCGATTACGAAAAAAACGAACTAAAAAGATGGCAACAAGTTGACAGGAACATTGTATTAATGCAGTCGGAGACATGTACAAACATGTATGTTTCCGACTGCATAATCTATACATATAATAAAATCGTAACTAAGCCGAATCTGTACATTAAATATTTTTTGGAAAATCTTATTGAAACAAACATTATCGATACAGAGGCCGAATCTATAGTTTTAAGAATTTTTGTCTGGCTGTCTGTTACCGCATCATAGAAAAACCACTGGAGGGGTTTTGATGACATTTGATATGGTGATAGCTGGTTATCCGGGTCAACATAAAGGATACTATTTACCGCAGGAAAATATCTCATTTCTGAGAAAAAATACAAAAATTCCATCGTAAGATCTTACTAATATGTAAAACCTAAGCATTTGCTTTTTGGTCATCTGAACGCGGGCGGAGCCGCGGGCAATGCTAGTATTATATACTATCACATCATATAGTACCATAGTAGTCGCAGACATAATTTATACTAGCTACGAGTCTTGCTACGTGTATTGTATGTCTTCAACTCTTCACTCTTCGATTGTTTATTACAAATTAGTAATTACAATGTTCCTTCGTCAATAAGACCTGTTTTCCAATTAAAACACTAAAGCGCTTTATGCGGCGTAGTGCTCAACTTTGAATTTTTCAACTACAGTAACGCTCCGTGTACTCGAAAGTACTGCTTTGGCGTGACACGCGCAACGATTACTATTTATGAACTCAGTAGCAAAAAATATAAGCCCTGTTTTCCAATTACAGAGCATAATACCGCACTTTGGCGCACAATGCCGAGGTGTGCTAATGCATAAATTGGAACGTGAATTAATTTTCAAGTGCACTAGGCTCAGTATTGAAAGAAAAAATATAACTTTAGGTAGCACCGAGCACGTGACATGTCAATTTTGATGTCATTATGACAATTGACAAAACCAATAGTCAACGTCAAAAAAATCCAAAATAATGAATGCTTCAATTTTTTATCATAAAGATTTGAAAATATAAATTAGACTTTTATGTATATTGTATAAAAATAGGTACGTGACATACCATTTCATTTAAAAATATATCAACTTATTAGTTTATGCATTATTATACTTTTTATAATGTAACCTATATTTATGAAATAAAAAATATACCTTTGTTTCAGATGTGAAGAATGAATAAATTTCAATAAATTTTTAACAGATGGGTTACTCTCTCCGTTTATATAAATACATACAATATAATTTACGTAGATTATGTTGCTTACTATACAAAGAGTTCAAAATAAAAAATGGAGGAGGATTTTAGAACACAGTATATACCTTATTATTGTTTTTGTCTTAGTGCCAAGTTTTATATATTTTGAACTGTGTATAGTGCTACCCACTGTGGTGGAAGTTTGGACTGTTCCTTACATAGTTCATTATGTGTGTGCAACCTTTCTTTTACTCAATATTATTGGGAATATGATATATGGGATGTTTACTGATACAAGTATTAAAGGTAAAATTTTTGAAAGTAAATGTACACAGGACTGGGGTATGTGTAGCATATGTGAGTGCCTTCGACCACCTCGAGCATGGCACTGTGATACATGTGATGTTTGCATTCTAAAGAGGGACCATCACTGCACATTTTTTGCTTGTTGTATTGGTTATTACAACCATAGATATTTTATGTTCTTTACATTGTATATTTTTATTGCAATGGTGTACTCATTTTATTATAATGTTATATTTTTAAGTAACTTTATTAAATGGAACCATGGCCTTATTATTGGTAAGTTTATATTTCCTTTAGCTAGCTTTGCAATAGACTTTGGAGAGGAAAGTTTGTTTGTATTTTTAGTGGAAATAAACTTCATTATTGGTGCATTTACTGGTTTTCTATTCATATATCATTTGAATAACCTTTTAAGAGGTAAAATAACACCAGAAATTAAACCTACTAATAAAAGCATATCTTACAACAAAGGACTAAAATTAAATTTAATAGAAGTATTTGGTCACAGGTGGTATTTAGCATGGATATCACCCTTTATTTTCAGTGCTTTACCTGGTGATGGCTTGGAATGGATTGTTGAAGATAAGCACAAATAAGTTTTACATTTTTGTTTATAGGTATTTATTATGTATATAATATGACGATTGATGACAGTTATCGTTAAAATTTTTATCACAAAATGGCACATCTTTAAAATTCCTCCAGGATAATTTCTAAGAAATTAATTGTTAACTGAGCCATTGGTGGTTCCGCGGTCGTTGACAGGTTAAATTTATAAATGCATTTATTGTTTATGATCTATTGTGTTTTTAGATCAATGAAAAAAAGTTACTAATATATATTGATAATAAATTGTAATACTAATGTATATATCATCAGATACAAATATTTTTATATAATATTTTAATTAGTAAAATAATATTCGGTTTCGTTACTTAAATAGCATCAAGTATTTATACTTTGTGTTATACAAAATAGAATTAACTAATACTATCAATCAGTGTTAGTTATTTCATATCTGTGATGAGTTCACTTGAGTACACTCCATAACAAGATCCATCCACCTTAAATTTGACACCCAAGTAAATTTGGCTATTAAGGGTGCCTATTTTTCCACTGATTTAAATTTACTTGTAACTTTATAGAGAAATATTGATGTGAGTGCTATATATATTAAATGTTTTACACATTATTATAAGGCACTATTTCACTGCCAAATATTTCATATAAATTAGCTTTACAATTCACCATTCTTTACCTGTTTAAATTATTAAACTATTATGTAAGTTAATTGTACACCTGCATTATTTTGTTTGAGGTTTACAAAATTATGATGTTTAATAAATTATTATTAATTATTATTAGTATTTTTATTTATTAACAAGACGAATATATTTCCTCATTTAAAATAATTACATCTTAATTTTATTTAACAACACTTCTCTTTAAGGATATACTATTCAAAGAACTAAAATACTTTAGTGGAAAAATCTATCCAAAAAATGCACTGTTGTTAAAGAATTAGTGCTTACAATTTATGTTTGCGCCAGCTATTCCAAACAATAGCGCGGCTAAAATATAAAATGAACGTGGAACGCGTGGTGTGCGAGGAGTGAGTGCGCATTGCGCAGGGCGGGCGGGGAGGGCGGTGAGGGCGGGCGGCCGCGCGGCCGGCAGTGCTGCTCGCGCAGGACCGGAGTGGTGTTCACTCGGCCGCGCGCCACGGCGCGACATGCCCAGCTGATGTTTATTTATACCGCGAGCTCGGCGGAGGGCGCGCGCGGGAGGCCCTCCCCTCCGCGGCACCACGGTTTCGCGTGATGCAGCCGAGCGAGCTAGCCGACACCGCGCACGCCGCTAGCGGAAACCCCCCGCAGCGTGGCCTCAACGGTGGCCGATTCGACTTTGACGATGGTGGTACATATTGTGGAGGGTGGGAAGACGGCAAAGCCCACGGCCACGGTGTGTGCACCGGCCCCAAGGGACAGGGGGCGTACGCCGGCTCCTGGCATTTCGGTTTCGAAGTGTCTGGCGTCTACACCTGGCCCAGGTGAGATAGTGTCTCCGCCCGGGCCTCGCACATGCCCGAAATTCGCGTCCGAAGCCGCTCCAAAAATAGTCTGCTATTAATAATTGAGTTCGGTGTTTCGCTAGAAAACGCGTGTAACAGCGGTGAAAGTGCCTAATGGTCCAACCACGAAGAAAATAGTTATATCGATCTGTAGCTACTGATAACGATAAGTGATAAGACTAGGTATCGCGATGCTGCGGCCTCGATGTCAATTGACCCGTTGTCATTGTTATACACGCATCCATTAAGGATCCTATAACACATGGTGAAGCAAAGCGCAATTTATGAATCGTAATTGAGGGTAATGTTGTGCAGCTGTTCGCTGTCCCGGTCACGGGAGCTGACATGTGGTTAGAAATTGAAAGATTCATATTATTTTTTTTAAATCGCTATTTCGAATCATCCATGCCCGTTATACCTACCTGCTTTTATTACATGTAAATATTGTTAGGTAAACAGTGGCCAGTGACACTTAATTTTTTAGTTAAATTAATTAATTAAATTATTACGTACTATTAAATACAATAATCAATTAATAATATTCCTACCCTACGTACTAGGTATATTATTATTTTTTTGGTAATTTTACAAATCTCTTATTTTATGTGATTAGACATCTCAATGAGCATTAAAACGATACAAACAACTCGCGTAATGACTAAATGGAATTATTTTTATCTTTTTAATGGCTATCGATATTTACCTACACCAGAGTTATACAGACATCACAGTACGAGTACGTGGCTCCGGCAGAATGCGTTACTGTGCCAGACCTTCCTATAAATCTCGGCGGACGCCTGTTCCCATCTAACCCACTTTCATCGGGTCGTTGCTCCATCAAAATAGGGAGCCCCCGACATTGTGATTTCACACAAATCTGATGTATCTAGATTATTACTTACAAAATTTAAAAAATCTAAATAATAAAAGTTACTTGTTTCCAATCAAGTTCCATCAAGCTATAATTATGTTAGTACATACTTTATTACCTTAATACAATTCCACTAGCATTGCCCGCGGCTCCACCCGCGTTCAGATGACCAAAAAACCAAATTCTTAGGTTTTACATATTAGTATACTCTTACATTGCTGTTTTTGTATTTTTTCTCACAAATGAGATATTTTTTCGCGGTAAAAAGTATCCTATATGTTGACCCGGATAACCAGCTATGACTATACCAAATTTCATCAAAATTCGTCCAGTAGTTTTTCTGTGATGCGGTAACAGACAGACAGACAAAAATTCTAAAAACTATAGATTCGGCCTCTGTATCGATAATAATGTCTATTTCAATAAGATTTTCCAAAAAATATTTAATGTACAGATTTGACTCAGTTACAATTTTATTATATGTATAGATTAAAATAAAACAAACATAACATAATGTCTTAAAATACCGAAAGAATAGGTAATAGATACTAGATACTAATGAAATATGAATACGAAAGGTAACAAATGTGTCTTATTATTATGCACATGGATATTACATTAAATTTACGATAATTGATTCATTTATTAGAAAAACAGACATAGTAATAGAACACTACAAAGGAACAGTTCGCTCCTAGTTTCATAGAACCCAATAATAAAAAAATACAATTATTAGTATTAGTTATTTTTGGGATAAATTAAATCACATAATAAAAGAACAGAGCAAGAATCAAAATTATTGTGAAAGCACCAATATTAATAAATAATATTAAAACACCAGCTTAATGGACTTTACCAAATAATAAGGTGGTCGAAATATCAGATATTACTCGATCGCTACTCGAAGTATCAATTTGTTGTCGAGTGTTAGATTAACTTAATTCTAACCAGCTAATAATCGTAGTATTTCATTTTACACAAAAATTATGTATATTTAAATGCCTATGTATACATTTTGTTAAATCTTTATAAACAAATCCATCTTTATAAACAAACCTATCTTTATAAACAATTTTAAAAGATATTTTATACTTCTACAAACTAATATTATAAAGAGATAGTGTATAAGAATTAAAGAAGCGAGGTACAGTTTGGATGTAGAAGATAATCACTGAAATTACTGATCCGATTTTGATATTTTTATTGACTATAATAGGAATAGGCTACATTTCTGCCAAGTATTTACATTTATATTATTAATATTTTTTATTGTGATAAAAATGTATTTACTGTCGGATGTTATAACAACTTTAATTGAAGTCGGAAGAAGTGTCCGTTGAGTTGCTATATCGGCGTGCGCTGCTTAAACAGTTTGGATGGAATAAAATAATAAAATTTATGACAAAAAGACTTGGGAACACACCCGGTTAAAAAAAAGTCTTATATAGATACATATATAAATTAAATATTTATATACAGGGTGGATCTTTGAGACGGGACAGTAAGGGCAGGTACCTTAACTGCTATAGTTACAGGAAAACGTTCCTAGGAGACCATCCATAACTTTTTGAGATATTGTGAACTGCATTCAAAGATTTTGGAAAAAATGTACCTACAGTTAGCGAAAAAAATGCTAAAATACCAAAAAACTTTTTTTTATGCCAATCAATCCTTTTTTATGTAGGGATCAAAAGACTTTATGGGATCATTCAAGGTATGAGTAGGTACTAGAAATTACAGAAATCGCCAAAAACTTTTCCCATACATTTTGTACGGAAAAACGATTAATCATTTCGAAATTTTCTTTGTTGTATTCGCATAAGTATTCTTCTAAGCAAACCCTTTCATTTGATCATGGCGATGCATTAAAAAAACATAGTCCGCTATCGTTGGGAGTCCGCCATGTTGGATTTAGAATGACGTCACTTATCTAACCTTAACACAACAGTCAACACCTGAGAAAAAGTGTTCTGTGGTCAACACTTAGCATTGTCATCTAAACTAAATGTGTATGCAAAATTTTAGCTCAATCGGTTGAGGATAACTGCTTTAAAATTAAGTAGCAAGATTTGATCCGAACAAATATACATACAAACATCGCAAGTTAAATAAAAGCTTGTAAAAAAAATATACCTTTAAATAAAATGTAAATTTTTATGTATGTATGTAATAATTCTCCGAAGTCCTAATTAAATGAATCGGTCGCATAGAAACATACAAATTAATACCTTTTAAACTTGTCTTAAACTAAACAATTATAAAGTACTAGCGACTTACCTTTGCTTCACTCGAGTGCTTACTAAGTCTAGGTCCACTAAGCCTAGGTAGGTTAACATTGGCGCAACGGACAGCCCTCTTTGCAGAGGGTGTTTTAGCGCTGTAGAATCAGTCGCTCACGTAGCCCTGGAAATCGTAGCGGTAACTTCCCAACGTAATGAAATCCTCGGACCGGTGAGGTCGCTCCGCGAAGCCTGTGAAGCTCCCATGAAGCTTCTGCGCTTTTGGACGGAGCTAGGCTGGCTGAACTAGCCAGGATTCGCAACGTACAACGGACCAAATGCGAGTCTAAGTGCGGAAAACGAGTCCAATATACAATACATTACAAGTCTAGGTCCGTCTTCTATAAATGCAGGTATTATTTAAATCCGTTACGTAGCTTAGAAGAAGAGGAGAATCAAACAAAGTTAGGGAGTTTATTTTATACTTACTTTGTACTACACTTTGTATAGAATATATACCCTCTACAACGTCACAAACTCACAAACTAACAAACCTCTTTATAATATTAGTATTTAGTATAGATAATGTTATGTAACTCCTTCTCGGTTGTTTAGTTTTGTTAACTAAACACATCAATTACTTATTATATAAAAACCTAAGGAGGTAAAGCATATTTTTTATGTAAATCTATTCATATAATAAAACTGTAGAGGTCGAATGTCTGTACGTAGACAAAAAATGTTAAAAACCGAGTCAGGGAGTAAGTCGAGAGATGTAAGAAGAGAAATAGAACAAATCCAGATTTTTTTCAATTTTTTTCTATCTCTGTCTGTTTGTACGGGCTAATCTCTTGCGAAGGCTACTTTTTATCCCGGAAAAATGTACGGTTCCCGTGGGATAGATTTGTTATATATTATATAATTTAATATAATTTAAGTTATTTTGTTGCTCAAATCTTAAATTTCTTGTACTTCCTTACTTCTTTGTACTTGCCGAGGCTTAGTTTGTATTAAAATATTGTATATACCTAACTAGGTAGGTTAAAGTGGAAGTTGAAGCTGCCTTGTGTAAGCGCGAGTGGGAAAATATAACCATGGCGACAGAATATCACTATTCTCTTAATTTCAGACTAGGTAGTTCAGACTTCAGACTATTCATTTAACAGTCGACAAACAGGCGGCATGCCGCTCAAAAATGGAGCAGAATTAATACTTACTGTACTGTTTATGGAATAAATCAGTAGTAATTTCACATTTGATTCAGTTTTCTTTTACGAATATTCATGAGAAACACATTTCCATGAAATTAATATAACTATATCAATTTCATAACCAAATGGATAGGTTAGGCATATTCTGAATTATAAAAAAATAGTAGATATCTAATATTTGAAAATTATATATTTTAAGCTATAATTTTCCTCTGCTATCTATAATCTAATAACAGGAAGCGTATGTGCTTTACTTTGTATTTTATTCTTTTGAATTATTATTTAGCATATTTCTAACATAGTGTCTTCGCTCTTTGCAACTTACAAATCTACACTAATATATAATATAATATTATAAAGAGGAAAGATTTGTATTTTTGTATGTTTGTAACGAATAAACTCAAAAACTACCGGACCGATTTAGATGAAATTTGGTAAGAAGATAGTTTGAGACCCTAGGAAGGATTTTTTATCCCGGAAATCATCCCTTAAGGGGGTGAAACTGGGGATGAAAGTTTGTATGGGGAATCAACCTAGTCATTTATAAAATTCATATTTCTAATTTCGATAGCAAATTCAGAATTTTAATACTTTCTCAGAATTTTAATTCATTGTCGTACAGATTTTACTGAGATCCGGTATTATTTAAAAATTAAAATACAATAAAAACCATAATCC